TTCCAGCTACCCGGTAGCCAATGGCAGAAGGATTGTAAGTTCAAGCCCAACCTGAGCAACTTAGTGAGACCCTGTCTCAAAATTTAAAAAGGAAGGGGATGGGGGCTGGGGATGTAGGTCAGTGTGAAGGCCCCAGGTTCAATCCCAGCACAGCAAAACAAAATGAAAAAACTCCTCAAAAGTAAAGACCAAAAGTTGGTTGGGGGGAGGGAGTGTGTTAATTTGGTGAAGGAGTTATTGGCAAATGTGTCTTTAGAGGAATTGATATGGGGGATGTTTGGCATTTTTCCAGGGACCACAACACCATTTGCTAATTGTGTTGACAGTGGTAAGTTGTATAACCCATTTGTCTTGGCTTCCTCATTTACCTAAAAAACAGCCACAGTCAAGTTCCTCAGCACACAACACTACGTGAGAATGAAATCATCCAACGTGAACTCTCAGTAAGCGCTCAGAAATGATGGCTATTGTTACTCCAGCTCTCCACTGCTTTGAGGATTAGAGGTAACAGATCCGAGAACACTTTTAAAAAGTGCTACACAAGCTCAAGGCATTACTAAAATTAATATTAAACAAAAGTATTCTACATACAGATGGCAAAATCTGGGCTCCCTGCAGCTACTGGCAGAAGCTTCGCCAGTTTGTCCCCATGCTCGGCAACTGGATTCTGACTCCAGAGAAGGTAGAAAGAAGCTACAAACTCCCATCACGAATACCACCGCAAGAAAAATGAAGTCATTCTGGTTTGTACCAGATTTCATCAAGTTCCAAACTGGGTTCCTTGTTACACAATTCCATAGTCAGCTGCATCGTCTTGGCTAAAGCTGAGCTGGGCAGAGTCTGGAGACAGCAGGCACTATGGCATACACAGCCTCCCAGCAGATCCGGTTGTGGACAAGAGCTACGAGATCAAGATGTAAGGTGGGTGGGAGAGGAATCTCCCTTTCACTTCTGCAAAGCGCATCTCAACATCAGGAACATTCAAAAGCACTACATGTCTGACACTTCCAGAAAGACCTATCACTCTAGGACATAAACTCCAGAAAGGCAGGAATGGCTGTATTGTTTTATGCACTGCCCAATTCCAGTACCTTGCCTGGAGAGTTTAGTCAATATTTGCTGAATGAGTGCATGTACCGTGAACAATTGCAGCCAGGCTGGTTCTGCCTCACCCAGAATACATCACTTCCCTAACCTCAGATGGCCTTTTGAAGATCCTCCTCGGAGACACGCACTTGTGACTCCCACTTGTCAAGTGGCACTTGATGGGAAGGCTTCCACAGGTAACATCCACACACATCCTGCCACTGAAGTAGGCGGTAAACACTGAGAGAGAGGGAACCATGTCCTCTGGAATGTGATTCTGTGGTCTAGAAGACAGCTGCACTCATCAGAGCTCTAAAGCGAGCAGTGGGTGAGCACAGGCATGGACAGAAGGGTGGATGTGGCCCTCTGCTCCCAGGCCTGCTGTGCATCCCTGCAAAGCTCAGGACAGAACACCAACCACCCCAGGGCAGAGCCCCTCCTGGCCTCATGGCCACAACACATTCCTGGTCAGCGGCCTGCTGGCTTTTTTGCATTCTCCCCTGGCCATCTGGAAGTGGCCAAATGCCCTGGTCCTAAGGGTTAAAATGGAGATTTCATCTTGCCTGTTGTTCCAGGGAAGCCGGCAGAGCATGTTTAGACAAGATGGGGGAAGTCCCCATCTCCCTCCAGGCCGGGAACACAGCAGCAAGTCCTTGGCAACAACTGTCCAAAGGTTGGTTTCACCAGGGCAGAAGCCAGCGGTTAAGGCTCAGTGTGGTGGCACATGCCTTAATTCCAGCTGCTTGGGGGACTGAGGCCAAAGGGTCACTTTTTTTTTTTTTGGTAGGTTCAATCCCCAGTACCACAAAAAAGGGTACAAACAAAAAAAAACCCAGTGCTTCTATACATTCTATACAGTTCAATTTCACGGCCCACAACTGCATCATAAAGTTCGCTACAACACAGGCGTTTTTCGTTTTTTGTTTCTTCCCCTAAATACAACATTGTAAACGTGACTTTGTTCTAAGAATCCCAGTTTGTGCTTCAGGACTTTTGGCAACAGGCTTGAGATCCTCGATGGAAGCCTCCCTATGGCAGTGTTTTCTTTCTTCTGTCATTTTATTTTTTAAGCAGTAAGAGGATGGCAAAACAGACAAGAGCAGCAAACTATGAAGGCTGAAGTTGGGGGGCGGAATTCAGTGTCAACGTCAAATAAAAATGACACCGGAATGCAGGAGACACACGTAGGGCCACGTCATGGATACGGGCGGACAGTAACCAGAGGTGAGGGCATGCAAACCACTACAGGTCCCCCACTCCCGCCCTGCTCTCAGGCTGTGCACCCTTCTCTCTGCTCACCGCCTCCTACCTGTCCTCCCAAGTCCCTTCCTGCCTGTCTGGACTTCGTTACTCTCCATCTCCTCTGTCCCCCAGCACCCAGCGTACGGTTTTGTGCCTGTCATGGAGCCTCCCGGGAGATCACGTCCAGTGCTGGTTCCCTCAGCCATCATCACAACACAGCGCTGTCACGGCCAGAATGTCAGACGGCTGCGGTTGAACCCCTGGACAGATCTTCACGGTTCCCCAAGGCCTGCCCTCCTACAAACCTGTCAAGTGGGAGTGAATGGAGTGCCCAGCCACAGGAGTAACCCAGCACATCTATCCAGACCATCTGTTCTCTGAAAACCTTCTAAGGTAACAATTCATAAGGTCTTCTGCCAACTTGAGAAGCAGATATGAAACTTGTTTTTGCATTCTGCTTTGGGGTACCAGGGGCCCAACGCAGGGCCTCGTATCAGGCAAGTGTTCTAGCACTGAGCTGCATTCCCCCCCCCCCGAACACTTCTTTAGATTTCATTTTGAGCAGGGTCTCACTAAATTGCCTGAAGTGGCCTCAAACCAGGATTCTCCTGCCTCAGCCTCCTGAGTGGCTAGGATTACAGGCATGCACCACAGTGCTGCCAGTGAAGTTTTAAAACAAGAATGCAATTCAATTGATTAGAAGCCTCTTGCCTAGAACACAGGCCCTCAGCTGAAAGGGAGGGAGACAGGAGGCTGGAAAGGTGAGTGATGAAAGCCGTCCGTGGAAGCCCGCCACATTGCTCCCCTCTTCTGTGGCTGCCCTGAAGACCCAGCAGGCAAAAGCAAGCTTGCTGGACCCTCCCCTCTGTGTTCCACACCAGATTCCTTTCAATGGACTCACCCAAGTTGGAGTTCTCACAGGCCGGTAAATGCGGGGAGCTTATTTGCAAGCCAGGATCATATCTGCCTAGCAACCCAGCCCAAATACTTGAGGGACTAAACGTGGACCAAGGACACGCAGGCCAACTTTGCACAAAGCAACCCGTTTTCATGCAAATGACCCTAAGCAAGAGAACTAGAAAAGACAGAGAGCCCTGGACACCTCCAGGGAGCCAGTTTTTCCCCCAAAGATGCTGAGCGACTCTTTAAGGGCACCATTACAGCCTTGCCTTCTGTCAAGGAAGGGCTGGAGGGGGCTCCACCTGCCAACTGGGCCCCATCAGACCTACAGAAGAGGCCACGAGAGGGCTGAACCCTCTAGTGAATTTCCTGACTTTTCCGATCTTGTACTCTAGACTCTAAAGGATCTTTTGTTCTTATTTAGAACCAAACAGAGTTAATTTTGTTTGGAGGGTTTTGATTAGCATGGTAATGCGGTATTTTCCCTGGAGAAGTGAAAACAAGTAGAGGTTTTCACACTTGGTCTCACTAGGGAAGAAGGTGAAGCCAGTCTCTAACCAGGACAAGCAAGTCACTTCCCAGTAGCTAGAAGGCTGGGCCAAGGCTGGGCTCCATAACCCAAAGCCAGATGGTGGGCCACAGCTCTGGATGAGCTCTAGTTGCAAACAAGTTTGCAGTGTGTCTGCAGATGTAGTACAACCCAGGCGAGTCCTCCAGTGCTGTGCCTCAACTTTCCTCATCTGTAAAATGGACATAATGAGTATCAAGTGTACAAGGTTGATGACGGGGTCAAAAGTCATACAGGTGGCACTTACTACAATGTTAGGGACAAAGAAAACATGAAAAAATTAACTGTAATTTATGCTACCAAAGAGTACAGGCCAGGGATTCAGCTCAGGGGCACCCCGCCTGCCTCAGAAGTGCAAGGTCCCAAGCTCAATCCCGTACAACCCCCAAAAAGTAATATACATTAACAGGGATAATGTGACTATTACAATCAAGCCCCCCACCCCCGGCCAGATTTCACTTGATCAGATTTAGACACTTGAGTTTCCTAGCACTAAAACATAAGGCCCTAAATATCAAAGATTGAGCTTTCAGGACCTTCAGTTTTAAGTTTTAGTGTTTAGTGATTAAAATGTGTTTTCCCTTTGGGGGGGGGCACAGGGTCTCCTTTGTAGTCCAGGCTGGCAATTCTCCTGCCTCAGCCTCTCTAGGGCTGGGCTCACAGGCATGCACCACAATCCCCAGCTATAATCCGTTTCTTAATATCACCACATATGAATTTCCTGAGTAACAATTCAAAAAGCCTCTGTCGGGCTACAGTTGCAGCCCTAATAACAACAAGAACTAATCCGTGCCTAGGATTTAACCTTATGTCAATTGCTATGATCTGCACTTTACCAATATTATAAAATAAACTACGGGAATTCCTCCTTTATTCTCATTTCATAGATTTGAAGTTTAACCCTCTCCAAAATTAAATCACTCCTTCACGATTGCATAACTACTTAGCAGCCCTCTGGATGCACAGTTCTGGCCATGACCAGGGACTGCACCAACGCACCAACTCCCCTCCTCTCTTAACCACACCAGAGCTCATTAACAGCGACGAATGCCATTTAATCCAGCAAGCCGACCCGGGAGGGGACTCTGCCACGAAGGAAGGAACGATTTTTCTTGTCGCCAGCTCCTCCCGGAGGAGCGCCCGCCGCGCACACTCCCAAACTAGTTGGTTCTCTTAAGTTTCTCACATCAGAACCAGTCTCTGAAGCAACTCCTTTCAAGGGAACGACCAGGTACCAAAGTCCGCAGGACAACGCGGAGAATGCGGCCTTTGCTCCGGGGTGCTCCAATCTGCCCTGGGGTTGCCATATGGGGGACCCAGAAGCCAAAATTTGCGCCGTCGGGCTCGGAAATGCAAGATTTGTTCCCGTGAGGAATTCGTAACTCGGGTTTCCCGTGCATCATCAGCGTACTTCAGAGTGGCCTTCAGGTGAGGGACTTGGAGATGAGGGGCCCCCCACCCCTTAAGCCTGCGAGTCCCCTCGGGAGGGTCCCCGAGCCGGCAGCCTGCACCTGTGCGGACGTCGCCGGGCGCAGAGAGCGGTGCGCG